TGGGGAAGGGTTTGCTGAATGTGGGTCTGGTTTGTGTGTAGCATCTCTCGTTGTAGTTCCTGACCCCAGGCTGTGGTCTGGCTCTGCTCTCTGTAGCAGGRTGTATTAACTTCGTGCTTCCTTGTTTTAAACATCAGCTGTTCAACAACAGGACTGACTTTTTTGTTCAGAAGGCCATTTATGCGTTCTGTGTGTTTGAAATCAAAACCAGTCCAACACTATCCAGATGGTTCTGTCCAATGTCATTGGGAACAGGATTTAAATTGCTGGGATCAGCTGTGTATTCAGAAAACTGGTGTGGAGCTCCCAAGTCTTCAATTGTTGATGTTTCCAAGTGGATGGGCTGTCCCTGGGCAGTGCTGAGTTCCCCCTGCTTGCCTGGACACGGGACTGGAAGCAGAGGGATCCTGAACCATCAGCACTTCCCAGGATCAGGTCTCAATTTTCCACTCTCCTGTTCATCCTTCATGTGCAGTTGGTTATGCTCCCAATCTGGACCTTGTTCACTGAAACACATCCCTTGGAATTGCAGTCCATGTCCCTGTACTCTCTGTACACAAGGTATATAAGGTTTATGCTGTATAAGTGGCCTTCTTGAACAAATCTCTTTGCAAACTGATTTCATCCCAGCGAAGGAGTGTATCAGCAACACTGTACATTAATTTCAGGTTTTCATTTCTTATTTTATTTTGTAAATATATCTGATATTTGGAGCTTGAGTATACAAAATGTAAATATAGTTCATGTATTTGTACTAATTCTGATCCATTTGCTGTATAGCCTTAGGTGTGCAATGCAGATATCTAACTGTGTATGGTAACCTTGCACCACTGAATTGTTAGTGAACGAGGTGAAACAATAAAGGTACAACCAGTGCATTAGCAGACACAATGTGTGCTCCTTTCTTTATGATTTAATTACCTGGATCTTACGTTGATTACTTGTTTTTAAAACCTGTCCCAAACAAGTTGATGCTTTCATGGGAAGAAATTTGTCTTGACTGTTCTTGAGAAAGAAGGGAGGCCCTTCTTATCCTCCCTCATCCTTTCCCCTCTGGTATCTTACTCAACATTTCTAAATACTTTTTGGATGGTTTTGAATTATTATTTTGCTTGAGAGATAAATTTGGCTTGTCACARTGCTACCAGTACTGAATTTGTTTATCTGGGGGTGACACTTGGAAATGAGAGGAAATGGGTGAAATCAAATCAAACCATCAAAGCACAACAGCAACATCTGTAGCTTTTAAAAGTTGTGGACAGAGCACTCCCAAAACATTTAAATCCCACCAAAACAGTTCAAAAAACCTCTTGGAACTTTAAAACAGCGGCATGGTGACAAAAYAGCTTTCTCAGGCTGCTGGCCTCATCTGTTCTTGATCTGAAAAGCTGTTGTCTTTGCTGTTGGGGCTGATCCCCTCTTTTTTTTCCAGTTATGCACTTGAGTAACCTGTGAATTTTTTCTGGTGGCCCTTTTGACAGGTTAATGCTTYCTGATTCATTCATTCTTCGTACCCAAAATTAAGGTGAACCAAAAACTTGATGGGCCAGATTGCTGCCAGTCATCTTGTTTAGARAATGATTTATATAGAACTTAAACTATATTCCCAAGAGGTAGGTTTGTGTTGACGAAACAGCAGCTGCCGTGGAGCAAAGGTACGGAAGTGGCTTTGCCTCCTGGAATTCCTGTCACCACAGTGCTGCCAGAGGGACAGGCTTTTCCAGTTTCCTTTTGCCTAAAGTCCAGGACATGTAAAGACAAACGGGCAGCGGTGATACCTGAGGGGCTGGCTGCCCCTGGGACGATGCTCAGCAGCAGAACTGACGCCAATTAATAATAATTAGAAAAGACAAACTGCAGTTCYCAGCGGTCCCAGGGGTGCGCATGGCTGGGAACCGAGGGCCAGCCGAGGGCACGGGGCAGCTGCGCGGCTCCTCCGCGGGCGGGAGCGGCTCTCGGGGCTCCTCGGGTCTCACAGGAGTGTCAGAGCCGGCGGGGGCGCGGGGACA